TATGGCCTCATCTTGAAAGTGCTTGCTAACCTGGGAGAGGCTTTGCAGGGTCAGGCTCTTAATTTGCAGTCCATGTGCATTGTAGATTAAGTTTTAAGGGCCTGGTCCTTAACCCAGACAAAATTGCTGCCATTATTAGTTATAATAATAAATATTTCTGTTATCTTCCAACCAAGGATCTCAGTTTCTTTTGTGTACATGAAGCAATTTAGGTTGACTTTAATAGGAGTTTTGTCTGAGTAAGACTGTGTAAATCCATTTCCTGCAGGGAGTAGCTAAGTCAGGATCAGGGTTGATGGGTGGAAGCTGCTACATGTTCTCACTAGCCATCACTTCCTAGCCTTCTCCCCATACACAGATGCTAGTCCCCTAGGAGATCCATTCAGGCATAAAAGTAGAGGAAATGATACAGCGGACAGCTGACTATCCCCTTTTTGGCAACTAAATTTTGGGTAAGCACCCAAACCTTTGGGCTTTATCTAAACAGAGGATCTGAATGTCATTTTGAGGTTCCCTTGGGACCAGTACTAACAGCAGACTACGCACATAGAGAGACTGAATGATCAGGGGTTAGAGGATTAGCCTGGGATCTGGAAGACCTATGTTCAATTTCCTGTTCTGCCACAGACTCCCTGCGTGACCTTGGGAAAATCACTTAGTCTCTCAGGGTTCCAGCTGTACAATGGGGAGAAGCACTTCCTTACTTCACAAGGATGTACATTAAAAGATTTTGAGCATCTCAGATACTACGGTAATGGGAGCCATGAGGCTATGTCTACACTGAGTTATGGATGTGATTCCTCTGCCCATGTATGCATACTCATGCTAGCTCTCATTTAGCTAGTTTGAGTATAAATAGCAGTGCAGCCAGGGTAGCGTGGGAAGTGGCAGTGGATGCACGTCTGAGCTGTGCCAAGTATATACCAATGGGTTTCAGGCAAGTTTTACTTGGCATGGCTCAGACGTACCTCCACTACCACCACCAGTGCTACCGTAGCTACACTGCTATTTATACACACACTAGCTTTATGAGAGCTAGAATGAGTATGTGTACACAAGCAGGGGAATCACACTCCTAGCTTATAGTGTAGATGTAGCCTAAGATAGATAGATCTGTAAAAGAGAGGTAGAGCCTGAAGAGCCGTTGCTTCCATGTGGCAGCTATATTATTACATATTGTATGTTGAAGACCTCAGTAAGCTAATTTTAAGCTCCGCATATGTAACCTTTGGGTGGGCTAGAGTTCACTTCATTTCCTGTCTCCAGTGGTTTAAAAAAAACCCCAACTCCCATAGAAAGTAGCTGGAGACCCAGAGATCAGTCTCCAAGGATTTTCAGCAAGGATTGCACAGGGTCAACCTCCCCACATTCAAGTCCCAAAAGGAACTAAAGAAATAATTTAATTAAATAATGGTATGATAAAGAAACAAACAAAAATCTAATTTTTAAGCATGCCATGGCTATTTTATAATCCACAGACATTACTTTCACTGTTATACATGCTCACCTAAGACTCAGTCTTTGATCACCAAATCTATGCAGTCTGCTGAGTCTAAAACAACATATTCCCTCCACTTGCTTGTAGGAATCTTCAGTTGGAATCCATGCAGACTCTTCCTCTGCTGAAATCACTGTTAGCCAGTCAGCTAACTCATTAACCAATCACTCAGTTAAGTGTACAGATTTAAACAACACCCTGTTTCAAGAAAATACAAAACTTTCCCCATTACTACATTTAAAGAAAAGTTGGTGAATCAGACTACTTGAGACAATTTAACTAGAACAGTTTGGCTAAAATCAAAACAACATTCAAAGCATACAATTAAAATACAAGTTATTTTTCCCTTCCAATTTCCCCTTGCTATAATTAGCATTGTCCATGCTTCCCTGTTAGAGGGTTAACAATATCACTAACCTCCTGCAAAATGCTTCAGGGTACGTCTACACTACTCGCCGGCGGGTAGTGATCAATCTATCAGGGATCGATTTATTGCATCTAGTGTAGACGCGATAAATCGATCCCCGATCGCTCTGCCGTCGATTCTGGAACTCCACCACAGCAAGAGGCAGAAGCGGAGTCAATGGGGGAGCGGCGGCCATCGATCCCGCGCTGCGAGGACACGAAGTAAGTGATTCTAAGTCTATCTAAGATACGTCGACTTCAGCTACTCTATTCTTGTAGCTGAAGTTGCGTATCTTAGATTGATTTCCCCCCCCCGCCCCCCCAGTGTAGACCAGGACTCATCTGACCCCAGCAACAGGGAACCAAAACTACCACACCCAATTCCAGAAGCTTCTGGATGTGGAGTGCTAAATCTGTCTAGCAACAATGGCCCAGACACAACTCACTCCTACCTCCCCCAATGGATCTCTTAAAGAGATATTTCCCTATTAGGCACATGGGTTACATATAATCACAAAGGGGTCCCAAAGATCAAATTACTTTTCCTGTGAAAACTGCCTAAATTATAACTATAATTATAGTTCAACGTCACAATAAGAGTTGCTGTAAAATGCCTTGTGTTTCCCTAACTGCTGCAGAAGATAAAATGTCCTATCAATTTAAGTGGCCCTATTGTAACTTTTGGCCCTCTAAGGTTTAAGAATAAATACTAAAGTCCTTGTATTTAAAGAATTTATAAACTTGTAAAGTTCTTAGAGGAATTTACAAATAGCTATTTCAGAAGTACCACACTGGATCAACTTGCTTCTTTGGAAAGAGTGAAAAAGAAATGCATGATATAAGTAACCGCAAAAACTAATACAATGTTGCATAAAATGAATTCCAAATGCTTTCTGATGTAACTTCAGATGCTAACGATGGATATATTGATGCAGTTTATATATTTTAAAAAGGAATAAATTTTTTCAAATAATATTCATGATTTATGTGTGTGTGACTCTTTTATTTTATAATGGATTTTTCTGTTAATTTTTGAACATTTTGCCCTGGCATTTTGTGTGTGTGTGTGTGTGTGTGTGTGTGTGTGTGTGTGTGTGCTGAGACTTTGCTAATCAAAACCTTGTAGAAAGAGCAATACTATTTTATTTAATTATTCCATAACATAGCCTTTTAAGTATCCCTAGTTTTCAGATCTCTGTGTGTGTTTGTGAAATCTAAATTTCTCTCTCTCTAAATCACCTGTCCCCCTTTTCATGTGTGATGGCTCATTTATAAACCAGGAAGTTATATTCCTGTTTTATACACTAACTCAATGTCTGATATGTCTATCTTTAAGGTTTTCATGGTTACTGATTTCTCAATGTTTACCTTTCTTTTTTCAAGTAATAAACACCCTTAATCATCTTTTTAGTAATATCTCTAATATCTGTATGAGAAAGCTAATATTCTCAGGGCCGGCTCCAGGCACCAGCCCAGCAAGCAGGTGCTTGGGGCGGCCAAGGGGAAGGGGCGGCACGTCGGGTTGTTCGGCGGCGGATCCCTCTCGGAGGGAAGCACCTGCCGCCGAATTCCCGCCGAAGAAGAAAGTGGGGCGATGGAGCTGCCGCCGGGGTGCCGCCGATCGCAATTGCGATTGCAGCTTCCCCCCCCCTCCCCCCCGTCGCTGCTTGGGGTGGCAAAAACCCTGGAGCCGGTCCTGAATATTCTAGAGGTCCAGTGAATGTTTAGGAAGCACAAGAAGTGGAAGATTGGTCCCCAGATGTGTTGCTTTAGGAAGCAGAAGCCTCTTCCCTGCCAGCATCCTGCTCTGTGCATAGGACCAGATCAGAGTCCTTGGGATGAGGGAGAGTCTATACTTTGTCTTAGCTTCTATATCCTCAGCAAAATTAGATTTAGTTACCTTTTTCCTATTTAAAAAAGAGTGGGTGACTCATATATAAACTGGGTCATATGATGTTTTGTAAACTGAAGGTTGAGAAGCAATTTCTTGAGACCTTAACAGATTGCTCCTTGAACATTGCTTCTGGAACACACAAGAGCAGCAGCAATGTAGACCTAAGTAACACAAAGGCATCAGCTTGATATGTAACTATAGCTGGGTAGTCAGTAAAAGCAACCAGTATATAATAGTTTCAGCATCCTCAGCACAGCTAGCACTGTGACTCTGTATTTTAGAAATGGGGAGAAAAAGCTAGTCAACAACTGAGGAAGGAAATCAAAATCCTGAGATGCCGCATGGAAGCTACTTACACATGCTGTAGAAGAGATATGTGGCACATATATTTCTAACAAAAAGAGAAGCAGAAAGTCAAGTTACTGGGTGCTAAATGCTATTTGCAAATAAAATCTGGAAGAACTGTGTATCTGTACCATAGCATATGGATTCATATGTGAGTTTAGAAATCAAACATAGCATAAGAAAGCATTCTCAGGTGGCTGCAAATAGTCTGTTCATGGCCAACTAACGGAAATGATTTGGACCCTGTATGCAATGATAGGCAATGATGATATATGTTAGCACATTATCGGTTCCTCTTTCTCTAAATATCTCCCTCTCCCCCTTTTCTCCCACAAATGTGTTTAAATACAAGTGTGTGTGTGTGTGTGTGGGAGGGGGGAACCACAATAAAATATAGTTCTATTAAACCCAATGTTATCCCACACAGGAGGATAATCAACTCAAAATTTGCACTTTTTAAAATTTTTATTGTACCAACTGTTTAACATCTAAGGCAAGAGAAAAAATAGACATTTTAACTTCTTTATGCATTTGGCAGCACTTTGTGCTTAATCAACTTCGCAATTTCCACTATTGAGTCAGTTTCTGTTGTTTGGGTGTATCTTTAATACAGCAACAGGGAAGAGAAAAATATCTATTTTTTAAAAATAGGAAAATGTAGTTCTAAAATCACAGAAAATAGCATGAGGGTTCTGGGGCAAATGTGGTAGCTAAAGGTAATTTTTTTTTAAATACTGGGTGGATCTCAGGTTGACGGGATCCCTTTTTTAAACTCTTCTATTTTTGCTATTTAATTGCTTTACAAGTGTTTTCATGTTTGGCCTTATTCTAACTGAAAACTTTTAAAATATGTCTCAGGATGCAGAATAGAAAACTGCGACTCTTGCTTTAGCAGAGACTTTTGCACCAAATGCAAAGCTGGCTTTTACTTACACAGAGGCCGTTGTTTTGGAGAATGCCCGGATGGATTTGCATCCTTAGAGGAAACTATGGAATGCGTGGGTGAGTATCTTTGCACAACTCTATCATAGCAGTTATTTTAACACCTGTATCTTTATGAAATGCCTGCTGGATTTATTCTGCACTTCTGATTCCAAAATGCCTTATTAATTGGGTTTGAAATTTATAATAGTCTTGTGCTGACATTTTGAATTCTCTAGATATTAAAGGGGACAAGTTCAAGTAATTACATCACACAATTTTTTTTCTTACTAACATTGGTGTATATATACTAGATGAAACTACTAATGTAATCCAGCTCTCTTTTTTTATCTCAATAAATTAGTCACTGTTCTCAGAAAAACATCTCTCTCTCTAACATTGTGACTTTCTCTAGGTTTTTAAATAGCACAATATTGGGGTGCTCTGCCCTATGCCTACACCAGAGTTTGGTCAATTTTATTACGTCACCATCATCAGGGTCTTATACCTTGGCTTTTTAAAAACCTCATCCTCCTGAAAATGTATAAACCAGGCCTTTACATATAATATATATAATTATGGGGTTGGTGCACTCCTAAGTCTACCCATGCAATATCTGTTGCCCAGCCACAGGCTGGCTGAGTTCATACTGAGCTGGGAATTTTAACTCTGCCTTCATTCAGCTTTTTCTGAAGCCCTCTTCTCTTTCCCATGTCACATGTGTAGAGGGCAGGATGGGAGCAGAGAGAGGATTTGTCTTTCCAGCTCGTGGTCCTTGCTGGGTGGCCCTAGTAGTGCTGCTAATCCCAGTGTGTTCTCTTTGCCTCTCCCCTGTATCCCCAAGCTGTTGAAGGGAAAAATAGGAGCACATGAAACCTGGCAGGGGGTTACTGCTTGCGAGGCCCAACAGCCAAGAGGAAATGAACATGTGCTTCCACATCCACACACACAGGGCACGTGGGCTAGGATTAAAGGACAGAGATAGGGAAACTGAATTCACCTCACCACCTCCCAATGTCTGAATAGCTCCCATCTGCAAGAGTACGGTGAGTACTAATTGCAGATTCTGTAAAGCTACTGAACTGAATTCCTGCCATGGCTTTGGATTTACTTCAGAAAAGGAGTGACTCCCAGTTTAAAGCGTTTAAAGTTTATAAAACTAAGCCAACATTGCTGACTCCTGAGTGAGTCTCATGATATTTGATATTTTTGTTAAAGCTCCAGCTCGTAATGTGAGGCACTCTCTCCTGATAGTCATGCCTAGTGGTCAGAGCAGAGGTTGACACCAGATGTCAGGGCAGGCCTGGGCTGAGGGTAGCACTAGAACCGAGATTTGAGGAGAGGCTGGGGTCAGAACCGAGATCATAGTCTGTAGACAAGCCAGAAGTAGTACTGTAGCCAGAGTCCAGCTGCAGGCCAGAGGTTGAAGATGGGTGGTTAGAAACCAAATCAGTACTGTACCTGGAGTCCAGATACAGGCCAAAGGTCATAGCTGGGTGGTCAGAGTCCCATGGGGTCAGGAGGTGGAGGCAAGGCCTGGAGCAAGGTCAGAGCAGGGCAAGGAAAAGACTGGAACAGGGCTTGGGCAAGGCTGGGGCAGGAGCAGGCTGAGAGAATCTGATACACTGGGAGATAGCAAGAGGGTTCTTGGTCAGGTAATGCTATTGTACAGACTGATCTATAGCTCTGGCGGGACTGGGAAAATATCAGAGCCTGGGGGGTCATCTGACCCACGCTCCACTCAGGGATAGGTTGCTTCCACATGCTTGATGGCTGAGTCACTGCAGGCTCTGGGAGGGGTAAGTCAGTAAAGCTGGGTTGTTGCTGCATGCCGGCATGCTCACTACAGTTCTGTTGGAGGGGAACCCATTGAGGCTCTGGGTGGGCGGGTGTGGGCCTGCCTTTACTAAAGGCTCTCCCCTGCAGCATAAGAGGGAGGGGGCACCAGACCCAGGCCTCAACTAATGACAAGGGACAACAAAAGGAAAAACAGGGATGGGAGTGAAGGTCACCGGGATAAAATCTGGGATCCAAAGGGAAACACCGAGCAGAGAACTTCGGACAGCACTCACTGCTTCTCCAGGGAGCCAGTGGACACAGCCCAGAGGAACTTTGTCTGGAGATGTGACTTGAAAAGGGATCAGAAATTGGCTTCCGGTCGCAAAGCCCCTCCTCCCCACAATCCAGTTCCTCCTCCTGGTATGGTAGAGGACCACCTTAGCCAGCCCCAGGAAGAGGTTGATGAGGCGGTCTCGTGACTTCATAGGATCACAGACAGGGTGTGTATAGATCAAGATGTGTGGGGAAAGTGCAGCCACACCTTACAAAGGTTTTGGAGGAGCTGGATGAAGGGCTTCTCCAGTCTGATGCACCCTATATAAATGTGCACCAGGGTCTCCCTCTCACTGCAGAAGGGTCAGGTGTCAGAGGAAGAGGTGGTGAACCGTTCCAGGTACACATTTGTGCTCACAGCTCCGTGAAGGAGCCACCAACTAATATCCCCAGTGGGTCATGGGATCAGAATGGAATATTTACCCTTCTGGGGTGGTAGGAGTTCCCTCCAATTGGTGTCAGGGTGGAACATGAGGGCAAGGAAATGCAGGGTGTGGAGCACTAGTGCACACAGACGTTTCCTGGGGACGATTCAGAGGCAGACTGGCTGCATGTTGTGCAGCTGGTTCAGGTGGTATGTCAGGGGTGGCTTGCAGGGCAGGGGCCCAATGATGAGGTCCGGAGGGGCAGGGGTAAGGTGCAGGTGGGGAGTATCCTCCCGCAGGACTAGAGGAAAGTGTGATAGATGGGCAATAAGGCTGCCCATGCCTCCTGGAGCACACGATGGGGAACACGAGGGTGGTGAGTCCCATGCACTGGCTGAGCACTATGGAGTCCACCCAGTCCCTTCAGTCATAGTCCAGGAGGTCTCTGATCCTGGTGGCACTAGCCAGGACCAACCTCCGATGCACCAAGGGGGGACTCCACCTAGGGTGACCAGATCACTGACAGGAAATATCGGGACGCGGGGGGGCGGGGAGGGGGGGGGAGGGCAAAAAAAAAAAAGCTGTTTTGTAGGTGCCGGGGGAATTAGCAGGCCCCGGCCGTGCCGTGGCCGCTGCCCCCCCTCCCAGGCACATGCGGCACGTCCTGCCGCCTTGTGGGGAAGGAGCTGCTGGAGCGAGAGGCGCGGAGCTCCGGACCCCAGCAGTGGTGGGGGAGAGCGGCTCAGGGCCGCACGAGTGGGCACGTAAAGTTTATCGGCTGGGGGGGGACCCCGGCTGGCTCCTCGCCCTGCCCTGTAGGGGGGTAGTGTCCCCACCCCGCGCCAGCATGTTCCGCCAGCCGCCACAGGCCAGGTAAGGACCCGAGTCCCCCCTCCCGCCTTGTCCTGGCTCCTCAGCTGAGCGGCATTCCTCCTCCCTCCCAGGCTTGCAGCTGGAATGCCGGCGCAAGCCTGGAGGGAGGGGGTGGTGGCTGGCTTCCAGTTCCTGGAGCTGGTGAGTAGGGGCACCAGGTGGGCAAGGGGGGCTGGCAAGGGGGCTGCTCCCCCAGGAGGGCGACGGGGGGGCTCAGCTGAGGAGCCAGGACGAGGGGGGGGGGGGGGACTCGGCTCCTTACCTGGCCTGCGGCGGCTGAT